CTTAACAGGCGGGAAATGTTTGAAATGTCCATTGGTACACATAACCTCCACAGTGCAGCTAGGACAACTTTTCTCCGGCCTTCAGCCTAATATCACTGTATCATTTTTGCCCTTTCCCAACTCAGAAGATGGTAGAGCTGTTTTTTCATTAAAATAAAGGAAAAATAAAAAAGATGGCAGAACAAACATGTACCGGCTTCTCTGTGACTCCAGTCCTTCTTCCCCTTAAGTTCTACTACCTCGCCTGTCCATTTTTACATGGAACTCGGACTTCCCTTCCCACAGAAACTTATAGAACCAGTTACCCATGAATGCACAGAGGGCCTTCATTATGGGTAAAATAAAAAAATCTACCCCCAGCCCCAACCACGCACCCTATTCTAAACCTGGAGACAAGGTAAACCTGTCCGAAGCCCTAAGTCAATCTCCAAATCTTCCAGCCTCTTCCAGGAACCTCCCTACCACTTGCCTCTACATCTTTTCTCACTCCAAGACTGACCATTCATGCCACATCCCATTTTCTGGCTGTCTTAAACACAGCCTCAGATGCACCTTCAAAAAACAGGATCCAGTATTTTCAATTATGACCACGTTGTTGCCAAAATTAGTTAAAAATAAAATCAAAATGTAAGGAAATGCTAATGAAAGCCATCTCCAATCTTCTCTTCTCACTGCATTTTAAAATATTTTTTTTCTTTCAGCAAACTTCACATACTTGCCTTGGAAAAAATGTCCTGATAACTCTCTACATGGACTACATGGGTATTCATGTTTCCGAATCAAATTATTATAATCTGTTTTAAACTACTGCAACAAGTCAAATTTTTTGAAGTGTAGATCAAGTATACATCAAAGTCAGTGCACATTTTAATTCAATTCCTAGTTCTAAATAGGAATTAGACTGATAATTTTTCACATTAAAAAAGTGGGTTAATTACACACTGATATATCTTTTAAAATGTTGTTATATATTTTTTAAAGTATACCTTTACCAGGTAAAAGCTCAAAACACTGGTGTATTTTTAAAAAATTTTTATACTAAATTTTAAAATTGTTATCAATTTTTTTTATTTATCACATCATTTTAAATTTAGCAGTGCTTCTAAAATATAATATAGCAATCATGCCTCCTGTGGCATTTTAATATGTATGTATTTTTTTGTATGCAACATAAAATAATTGCCTCATCTTAATTTTTAAAATGATATAAATATTTCATGCTATCAGGCAAGGTTATAATATTATATTGATAATATAATATTATGGTTATAATATTATATTGATGATATAAGGTTATAATATTATATTATAATTTTATATTGATGATAGACTTCTAATGTGAATAAAATTATTTACAACTTTTTCCCTGTGTATTAAGAAACCTCAACCACAAAATTTTACTAGTTCCGCCGGGACCGGTTTGGCTCAATGGATAGAGCGTCGGCTTGGAGACTAAAAGGTCCCGGGTTCGATTCCGGTCAAGGGCATGTACCTTGGTTGCAGGCATATCCCCAGTAGGGGGTGTGCAGGAGGCAGCTGATCGATGACTCTCTCTCATCGGTGTTTCTAACTCTCTATCTCTCTCCCTTCCTCTCTATACAAAATCAATAAAATATATTTTAAAAAAAATTTTACTAGTTCCTTAAATCTATTAGTTTCCAGAGATAAATCATTTTTAATTCCTTGATTCCAAATTTCCTGATAAACCCAAACTTGACCCATAGTTTCAAAAGAGTATCACTGAAAATCATAAATTAGTCATGTACTGGCATGAAAATGAGCAAAGGCATTATTATAGGCCTCTTAATTAAAATATAGAATGAAATAAAAGCATGAAATTTGGTTAAAAATAACGTGTAAGAAAACATAAGCAATTTTTAATTCTTATTTCCCTTTTGACTCAGCCTTTATTCTGTGATTTTACCAGTGGTCTCTCAAAATGCTCTCACATTGAGATTTCCAAAATTTAAAGCTTTCATTTATAACATTTAAAATAAAATTTCTAAGGAAATTTTACCTAAGCTTTCACACGAAAAGCAAATAAATATCATTATGTCTGTCTTTCTCCATGTTTTTATTTGTGAAGAGGGTTGGTGAAGAACAGTGCTCCACTCATTCTTAAAAATAAGTAGGTTGTACTTTTATTCTTTCTTCAAAGAAAGTGGGCAATTCATCCCCAGATCTGCGCAAATAATGCAGCATGTGCCATCACCTACACCACTGACAGTTTCACATTTTTAAAAGATTTTTCTAATTCAGGGGAAAATACAAATGAGACTAAGCAAAACACATCAATATTATAAACTCATTATTTACAGTGCAAATTTACAAATAAAATTGGGTTAATGTTAGGAGACCACACACAAATTACAATACCTGAGATTTAGTGCATTCCTTTGAGCCAAAATGAAATGAGTGCCATAGAGGAGGAAAGGAAAAGATGAACATTATCAGACATGCTATAGTACATCTGCCAAAATGAAGATAATGTTAATATTAGGTTAAGAATGACCATATAGAACTGGCTGTATGTATAACATCCTCTCTGTTCTTCAGCCATGCACTTGAAATGCACTTGCAAATATTTAAAACCACCTGTGAAGTACGGTCATGCATCCTTTAAATAAACTTTGCATCCTCAGCCCTACCCTACCAGGGTTCTTTCAGATAGAAATATTTCTGTTAAGAATAAGTAAATATGACTTAGAGCTAATAAAGAATAATTATTTTTACTTTATTCTTTTTATTTTGTGGTGTCATATATACAAAACTGTTTCCCTAAGTTAAAATATATTCGGTAAAACAATGAATATTATATAAATATAATTAAAACACAATTTGTACACGCGCACACACACATACACACACACAAAAACAAAACAAAAACAAAACAAAAAAAATAGGGTCCAATATTTTCAACTGAAGCCATGTTGTGGGCCAATCTGAACTCATTTAGTAAAATTAATACCAACATTTCACATATTAGTAAACAAGTACATGATCTATTAGCAATCAAGTTAAATGTTTCATCCTAGTACGAATTTCCTCTAACAAAAGTAGCTGTTGACCAGGCACAACATTTTTTAAATCAAAATAACTTTTAAAAATTAATCTTATAGCCAAAACCGGTTTGGCTCAGTGGATAGAGCATCGGCCTGCAGACTGAAGGGTCCCAGGTTCTATTCCGGTCAAGGGCATGTACCTGGGTTGTGGGCACATCCCTGGTAGGGGGTGTGCAAGAGGCAGCTGGTTGATGTTTATCTCTCATCAGGGTTTCTCTCTATCTCCCTCTCTTCCTCTCTGTAAAAAAATCAATAAAATATATATTTTTAAAATTAATCTTGTAATAAAAACATACATACTACACATTTTTAAAAATTGGTTGAAAAAAGGGCAGTGATAAAGGGAAAGTGATTGAATCAGGCCCTGCTGGTGTGGTTCAGTGGATTGAGCATTATCCTAAGCACCAAGAGGTCACCAGTTCGATTCTCGGTCTGGGCACATGCCTTGGTTTCCGGCTCTATTCTCAGAAAAGGGTGTGCAGGAGGCAGCAGACCAATGTTTCTTTCTCATCGATGTTTTCTCTTTCTCTCTCCCTTCATCTCTCTCTACTCCCTCTAAAATCAATAAAAACATATTTTAAAAATTTTAATTCAATCAGGTTTAACACTAAATTTTAATTAATTGATATTCCCACTATCTTAGTATGGAATCTGATATGGAAAAATAATTCTAAAGCAGAAAGAATAATATTAATATTAATACATGGCTAAAATATATTATACTATTAATATGTACAACTATTTTTAATCTATATTTCCTTCTTCCATGATGTTCCATCAACACTAAAAATATTACCTTCTTTTATAGACAATGAAAACAAAAAACCTTTTTAATATACCAAGTCTCTTCAACAAACAAATGTCTTTATGATGAGCAAAAAGCAACCCAAATGAGCTCAATGAAAGGATTCAACTCTAAAATTTATGTTAAATTAAAATAGTAAATGCGCAGTGAGAGAAGTAGGAGGGTAGCTGATGATCAAGTGCTTAAATATTCAAATACAAAGAGCTCTCACAAACAGAACATATAAAGTGTAGGTTTAAACTATATCACTTAAAAGTTACTAAAAATTAAATACATCATTTTGTCTATATATATTTTCCCACACCTTTTGCACTTATAGTTTTTTGTAAAAAGAAAGAAAAGGTTAGAAAAAGGTGAAATGTAATGTAGTTGTCAATTATCTATTTTTATTTTTTTTCATATTCTTATTTTAAAATTAATATAAATGACTACTCTTTTAATAGTATTACATATATAGATAACACATCTTTGGCCATAATATGACATATATAAGAATTCAAACTACTTTCTTTTTGAAATTATAAATCCTTAAGTATATTTGCAAATATTTTGGATTGGCTATCAGGAGAAATATGACACAGTACAGCCAGGCAAATAAATAAATAAATAAATATTTTTAAAAGGTTCTAAAATTGCCTCTATTGGGGTCTAGTACAACTGTGTCTTGGTTTTCTCAAACAAAAAATAGCTTCCTTATCAAGTACTTAAAAATAAATGATAAGCATTTAAGAGGATCTTTGAACCTATTAGAAGTACTTCAGACCATCTTTATATAGCTACTTTTTGAATAAAAAACAGCTATGATAGCAATCATTAAGATGTGGGATAGCTAAAATTTTAGATTGAGATAAGAACTTAAAATATCCCAGTCACAATTATACATGCTGATCACAAAACTGATCTTCAGAGACATTTTAAGAAATAAAAAGGCTAAACAATGTCTTTTGATGTCTTATTTCAATGTTCTTTAAAACTATTCACATTGTGTGTATTTCCAGCAAAAACTGCTATTTAAGTATAGAATTACTCATCAAAAATATGAAGTTTAAATAGAAAGTTAAATGTTTTGTCTTTGCACAAAACTCCAAACAAAAACGGAAGATAAATAAATGCATCATACACTCATGACTTACTGTGTGATAGCCTCGAGGCAGCGGTGGTTTGCCCACGGGATAAGGATCCACAGTGTCAATAATTGTTTGTCTTTCACCTTTCTGGTTAATCTTTCTAAATCTCCTTCGAGACTGTCTATGAGAAGCTTGACGCTGAAAATATTCTTCATTTTCATCCATATAGTCCACCTGAAGAAAAGGAAAAAAAAAAAAAAGAAAAAAAAATTTCATTTCTTCAAACTTGACATTCTAAATCAAGATTAAGAGTAGAATAAAACGTACAAATAGTCCGCATTCATTCATTTTGCAAAGACATTTGTAGCCAAACTATCTAAACAGATTCTTAAGTGTTATGGAACTTCTCTGGAACGGACTGGTTTTGAGTAACTTTCCTTTTACAGAGAGGCATTTTCAGTTCCACTTAGGGACGACATGGATAATTTTTGAATTTCCTGTACTTTGAAAAGGAAAGATATTTTCAGTTAGTCTTTGTACTGATCTAAGAGTGAAAGAACCACAGGATATATTACCACACATTATGAAAGCAACTGCCCCATTGTCAACTAAAGCACACACACAAAAAAACGCTGATGGATATGAGTAAATCTGTAAAAAAACAACAACAAAAAAAAACCCAAATCCAAAATGACTGAAATAGAACTGCTAGAGAATGGCTTTGGTAGATTCCCTAAGGGTTCCTCTTCCTACTTTCATTCTGTGTATTCAGTTTCTTTTTTTATATATTCGATAGATAGTGTTGTTTTTAAGAAAACCCTCATTTCAAACATTTCAGAAACTCTGGTGAATGGACTAATAGAGAATATGCTACATTATGTTAATCCTCATCATATTGATATAATGAAACGTGATTATTAGAGGCATATTTCAATGCTAACACGATTCTCACACTGGCAACGCGGTAGTTTGTATATTACCAGCAAGTATATTCTCAAGGAAATGTTAAATTCTCAAGGAAATGTTAAAGAGCAAAAAGCCTTCAAAGAAACACCAAAATAGCACTAATGGCGGTCAAAACTTCGAGAAAGTATCTAAAATCTTTTAAAGATCTGTTTCAGCAAGGTCCTATTTATCTGCCTATGTTTTTTTTTCAATCCTAAATCTTTAGTCACCACCATGGCACGTCCTCACGTAAGAGTAAATTTTGTGAAATTTTACCAAAAGTGTTCGCTAGCTTTGACAAGGAAGTTCTCATTTCTGATGGAATTTTCCTGCATCATAGGAAAAAAACCCTATTATTATTGTCTCTAAATAGAGTGGTAATCTACCAAATGCTTTATTAAATGTGAATTAAAAACTTCCAAAATAATCTATATTATCAGGTTTTCCTGGTGAAGGATGCTAGATGATGAATAACTGGATTATCATATCAACTGAATGTCTACACTGGGAATTCCTACCATCATCCTATTTTAGTTGCTGATTTTTTTTAAAAAGGGATACATAATATGCTACTTTACAATCATTTTTATATAGTAAGGAAGAATGTGACAGGTGTTTTATAAAGCATCAAAAAAATGTTGCTGTCCTGGCCAGCATAGTTCAGTTGGTTGGGTGTTGCTGGTTCGGTTCCTAGTCAAGGCATATGCCTGGGTTGCAGGCTCAATCCCGGGTAGGGTGTGTGCAAGAGGCAGCCAATCAATTCTGCTCTCACATTAATGTTTCTACCTCTCCCCCTCTCCCTTGCTCTAAGAAATCAATTAAAAATACTTTTTAAAAACATTCTAGTATACATGCATATAAGTACAACCAATGGACACAAAACTCTGGGAAGGGAGGGTATGTACGGGGGGGAAGGCAAGGGGGGGGGGAGGGCCGCATTGGTATATGTACAAAAATAATAATTTAATTAAAAAATATATTAAGGAAAAAAACCATTCTAATATCTATTTAGCATTATATATATATACACACATACATATATATATGACTTATCTAAATATGGTTTTTAAATCACACAGTTTGGCTAATGAGAGATTAAGATTTTGACAGACTGTTTAACCAGCAAACTAGTACCCCATTTTTATGTCAATTAGTTTTAAGAATTGAAGTGATTTCCTTATGGTAATTGTTGTCTGAATACATATCACTGTGATTCATTTTACTGGTAAGTATCTCACTCATTTTCGAACAATATTTGGAGAGCTAAAATCCTGTAATTCAAAGAGATTCTCCCCAAATTTTAATTACATGGTATTACCATATATTGATTTACAAAGTTCAACCAGCAAACATTTAGGCACTTGCGCCCTTTAAATTTTCTATCTTTTTCATTTAATTGAATCCTGTAAATAATTATGATTATGAACTCAAATTTATAATAAAATTTATACAAAATATCCATACTTATAAACATATAATATACTATTATAAGTAGTTTGTGAAAATAATTTAATTGTATAACTTTTTTAAGGGGGAAAGAATGTCTTCAGAGGAATATTCTTACCACGATCATTTCAGAAGGCTCTAAAACAATGCATTCACAGCCACGCCTAAAGCTTCCTGCAGAACGCTTGCCAAAACTAGAAAACAAAATTTAAAAAAAAGATTTAACAATATAAAATTTAAGCCAACTCTCAAGATCAATAAAAACTAAAAACAATACAAAAAATACACATTGGAGAAAGATTAACTATCTTTAATCATTATTTACACAGAATGACAAGGAACAATTCAAGTCGTTAAATTTTAGACATATACAGGGTGTCCAAAAAATGTATTTACACTTTAATAGCAGATAGCTCAATTTAAAAAAAAAAATGATACTTTAAAAAAATATTTATTGCTTTCAGAGAGAAAGGGAGACAAAGATAGAAACAGCAATGAGAGAGAATCATTGGTCGACTGCCTCCTGCACATCCCCTACTGGGGACTGAGCCGAAAACCTGAGATCAAACCGTGACCTCTTGGTTCATAGATCAGTGCTCAACCACTGAGTACACTAGCCAGACTGACAGCTCAATTTTGAAATTGAAATGTTATTTTATTTAATAATAAACACTGCCTTATAGAGGAATCAAGATAGTGGCATAATAAACACGGCATTCGCATCCTCCCATAACCACGTCAAAATTACAACAAAAATACAGAGCAACCATTATTCAGAACTGCATGAAATCTGGCTGAATAGAAGCCGTACAACTAGAGAATTAAATAATTAAGAGTGGTAGGAGGGGTGGAGGAGTGGAACAGATTTCTGGTCTGGCACCCCCGTGTGGTGTGTTCTTAATCAGGAGGGATATCCTGGCTGAGAAGACCTCTCCTGAGGAGCAAGGAAGGTGTCTCAGCCCCATACCAGACCCCTAGCCCCGGCTTCCAGAGCAGGTAAGAGAAGTCCCCAGTAAGTTTGGGCTGGAAAATCCAGCAGAGACTGTAGTTGAGTGACACAGACGCAGCCAGAGACCCAGGCAGTTCCTCTTAAAGGGCTTGTGCACAAACTTAAGATTCACTCTCTCGGAACTCCAGCACTGGATTCAGGGACATACAGGGAGGAACAAAATTATCTGACATCAGGGCAGAAACAGGGGGCAACTTTCTTCCAGACAAGAGTGCTGGCAGAGACGTGACTGTTCCTCTGCTGAGACCCTCCCCCTACTCTTAGAGCTGAGTGGCAGGCACCATATTTGAGTCTCCATCAACCTGGCCCACACATTTGCAGCCTCACCCAAGCTGTTTGCAGTGTCTTTTCCATATGAATAGCCCATCCTGGATCAGGCTTTAGACTTTCCTATAAGCTCTCAAACAAGTAGGGGCTCACCTCAGAGTGCCCCGTACCTCTAGATAAGTGGACCCAGACCTGGCACTTGCAGCAGCTTGCCAAAGTTCAAGCTTGGCCTCTCCTGGGCACCTCCAAGCCCAATACAAGTAATTGCCACCTTAAGATCACTCTGTAGCTTGTGCTGGGTGGCCCCTGGCAAGGCACAGGCAGTGGCTGACTTTGTACCTCCCAGGAGGCCGCAGAGCAAGTGAGCCTGGTGAATAGCTTCATGCCAGAGCAGATTACAACTCTAACGCATCTATTAGCAACACACTCAAGGGATGGAATTGATAAGCACCAAAGCCCCACTGAAGCAAGTCCTGCTCCATGGGGTCAGCTCCTACACAGCAGCTCTTCTCCTGTAGTTACGGTTGGTCCTCAAAGCCAATTGGCCTGGGGGTCAAGTCCTCCCAGTGATGCTTACAGCAATCAAGGCTCAACTACAACAATAGTGCACATAGGGGCACTCCCAGAATGCCCAGCCCAGGTAACTGGAGAGGTTGAGCCATTGGGCCCTACAGGACACCTAGTACATAAGGCTACTCTACCAATTTCAGAAGACTTAGCAGCTCTACCTAAAACATAGCAACAAACACAGGGAAGCAGTCAAAATGTGAAGACAAAGAAATATGTCACAAATGAAAGAATAGAAGAAATCCCCAGAAAAAGAACTAAATGAAATGGGAACAAGCAAACTACTAGGTACAGAGTTCAAAACAATGATTATAAAGGATGCTTAAGGAACTTAGTGAGAATTAAGGAAATTAGTGAAAACATCAACAACATAAAAGGACCAGTCAGAAATGAAGGATACACTAACTGAAATGAAGAATAATTCACAGGGAACCAACAGCAGAGGACACTGAGAATCAATTCAGTGATTTAGAATTTAGGAAGCAAAAAACACCCAATCAGAAGAGCAAAAAGAAAAAGAATCCAAAAATATGAAGACAGTGTAAGGAGCCTCTGGAACAACTTCAAGCATACCAATATTCACATCATGGCAGTGCTGAAATTAGAGGAAGGAAGAAATTAAAAACCTACTTGAAGAAATAATGACAGAAAACGTCCCTATCTGGTAAAAGAAATAGAATCACAAGTCCAGAAAGTGCAAAGAGTTCCACACAAGAGGAAAGCAAAGAGACCTACATCAAGACACATCACAATTAAAATGCCAAAGTTTAAAGACAAGAAAGAATCTTAAAAGCAGCAAGAGAAAAGCAGTTAGTTACCTACAAGGGAGTACTCATACAAATGTCAGCTGATTTCTCAACAGAAACTATGCAGTCCAGAAGGAACAAGAAATATTCAAAGTAATGAAAGCCAAGGACCTACAACCAAGAATACTCTACCCAGCAAAGCTATCATTTAGAATTGAAGGTCAGAACTTAACAGACAAGAAAAAGCTAAGGAGTTCATCACCTCCAAACTAGTATTACATGAGAGCACTGAATCCTAACCTCCAGGGAACCTCAAATCAGTATTACATGAATTGTTGAAGGGTCTTCTTCAAGAAGAATAAGAGAGAGAAAAAAGGATAAAAAATATGAACAATAAAATGGCAATAAATACATATCTATCAACAATTAAAACCTAAAAATCAAAATAAACAAGGAAATCTAATGAACAAAATAAAATGATCTGAATAAAATCAAACCAGAGGCATGGAAACACAGAACAGACTGAAGAATCTCAGAGGGAAGAGGGGGTGGGATGGGGAGAAATTAACCAGAGAACTTATATTCATATATGCATTACCCATGGATACAGACAATAGGGTGGAGAAGGGGTCTGGGGAAAGGATCCAAGTGGAGGAAGGCAATGTGGGGAGAGGGGTTATGGATATCTATAATACTCAACAATAAAGATTTTTAAAAATTAGATTGAATTAAAAAATAAACACTGCCTTTATAATTATTCAGAGTTTAAGTATACATTTTTTGAGATACCCTATATTTATCTGGAAAACTCCAGCACAATTAAAAATGCAAGTAAAAAAGAATCAGTATAAATAAGTTCTAAGTTAGGCTGTTTTAAATCATTCCAAATTAGGTGAAGCTTTAGAATATTATAATAGGAATGGGAATAGAATCAATGGAAAATTATGTAAAACCCAAAAAAGTATAGAATGTATGTAATTCTCTACTATAACTTAAATGGCTTAGGTTAAAATTTCTTTCACCTAAGAAGTGTATTTACTCCTCTAAAATTTCAAATCAATTTATGCTTAAATTTTAAAGAAAATGGTATTCAACTTAAACTCTTCTTCTTTATTAATAGTATGGAAGTAATTAAGTGGATATGCCTATTAACTGCCCATTCTTCCTGAAAACGTTGCACTAGTTAACTCAGACATAGCACCTTTGCACTATCAGTGAGAACTCCCATCTTAACACCAGAGCAGATTGATTCTCTCTGACCCAGCTTTATGACGACTTAAAACCTGCCAAGCTAGGTAATCATGACGTGCTCTACTACTGCACCTCCCCTCCCTGCCATTCACTACTCCCAAATTCCTCCCTCCCTTCCCTCCAGTCAACACGTTAGTAGCTATTTTTAATAAACTATCTTTGAGAAAAATATAGTAAAAAATATGAGAAAAAACTATTCCAAAGAACTATTTGCTCAAGCAATTTTTCCAAGTTAGACATTTTGAGTGATTCCTATGGATATTCTTGTTCTGTTTGCAATCCTCTTTATAAATGGTGACACTTAATGCATCAAACTTTATGGTGAAAAAGTCGGGTAAGATGAAGAGAAGTGGAGAGTCAATATTTTACTGTATCATTGTGATCTCTAACAAGCCAACTTGACCATTCTCGTATTCTACACTTTACTCATTATTGAAATTATCAGGTTAGAGTAGGGCCTAACTTGAGTCCTTCTCTGCTCCAAAATTCTGTTTTTATGAAAATAAAAAATAGAATCATACTTAGCATATCTGAAAAATACTTTTTAAAATATCTATATACAGCTCTCCATATCAAACAAACATACAAATATCTACATATATCTATATACATCTATCCATACTCAAACATACAAATATTCCTTGGTGCCACTGTCAGAAACAGTTAGTCCCATCAAATGCACTCCTTTCTATTATTATGTCATATAAGAAACTACTCAAAGTGATCTAACAGATTCAATGCAATCCCTAATAAAGTTCCAAAAGCCTTTTTTGCACAATAGAAATGCTGATCTCCAGATTCATACTGAACTGCAAGAGGCCCTAATTAGCCAAAGAATTCTGAAAAAGAACAAAATCACAGGCCTCAAACTTCTTGATTTTGAAACTTACTGCAAAGCTGCAGTAATCCAAACAGTGTGGTACTGGCACAAGGACAGAAAATATGAAATAAAATGAAAAGTCCACAAATAAACCCATATATCTATGGCCAATGAATTTTGATAAAGGAGTGACATTCATTCAATGAGGGAAGAAAAGCTTCTTTCTTTCTCTCTCTCTCTCTCTTTTTTTTTGTTTTGTTTGTTTTGTTTTGTTGTTGTTAATCCTCACCTAAGGATACTTTCTCCATTGATTTCCAGAGAGAGTAGAAGGGAGGGGGGCAGACACATCAATTTGTTGAGCCCCGACCAGCCTTTGACCAGAACTGAACCCAAGACCTCTCAGTCTGAGGGCCAGTGCTCTAACCACTGAGCAAACCAACTAAAGCAAAAAAAAAAAAAAAAAAAAAAAAAGCCTTCAACAATGTATGGGACAACTTATTTGCACATAAAGTTGGACTCCTATCTCTTACCATA